TGAAAAACATACTTTTATGTTTAATATTCCAGATATTAAATTTTATTGATACTAATATTAATAACATTGCCCCTTTTCTCTCATATTTACTGTATTTTAAAATTTTAACTTTCTATAAAACCGAAGTATTCTGAAATTAACATTTCATATGCAATAATTCGATATACATCTTCGTTTTCACCTCGGTATATTGAGCTGAGATTCTTAGCAAATCACAGGTTCTTCAATTGTTATTTTCATAAAGTAATGAAAGATATGAAAGATTCTACGTCGCTTTAATTTCGTTCGGAGTTTCGAGAACGGGCGGTGCCGGTGGTAAATCGATTTGTAGATGCGGCGCGAAATCGTAAGTGATCAATTTCAGGGCGACGAATCCGCCCGAACCTTTTCGGCCTTTGTGAAAGATACCGGCGCCGGCGACCGGCACGGGTGGATTCGACACGACCGGTTGAATATCGAGGAAAGGAATCGTGCTTTGTGCAGCGTCTTTTCGTCGATCGCTCGGTGCGAAATTTAAATATTGATTTTCAGCGGAATCCGGTAAGTTCCGCGCAGGATCTCGAGTCGGTATGTCAGGTTCAATTAGCGTTAGCTCGGTTCTAAAAGCAGAAATATATATATCATCAATAAAATATTATAATATATATAATATCAATTTAGAATGAAAGGAAATCTCACCTTTCCGTAACATCATTGCTATACCAAAAACTCTTTTCCTCAGGTTGGAGTAACGACCCAGATGTGAAATTGAACGGAGTTATCATTATTTCCAAATTTAGACGACTACCAACCATTCGGAATCGAATGCCTAAAATATATTTTACATATCGCGTTTGTTATATTTTTTAAGAACTCTTTATACTTGAGAAAAAATTTAGAGAATTTACGTATTAATTAAGATCGACTTTGAATTACCTGTCAAAAGATGATCTTGTGGTGATAACAAGTCATCGAGATCCAAAGCGCGTTTTTCCCATACGATTTTATGGTAATCAATACCGTCCTTAACATGAGTGTCCGAGACTGAAAAGACATCGATTGGTTGCCATTCAATTGTAGATGTATTAATCGCTCCGCGTGGAAGCAACTCGCCCTCTTGGATTTGTATATAAATAACTTTGTCTACTTTCTTCAGTCTCATCCCCGTTATAACTCTGTAATTGAATAGATATACATTCAGTTGTGTCTCTTATATAAGATATCTTTAAAGCTTTATTGCATTTTATTACATTTTATTTTGTTCATTATATATTAAATTTTATTAATTTTGTTAATTTTTATTTAAATTTTATTTTTATTTAAAATGACGATTCTTACCTATTTTTCGAGACATCAGACGTTACAGATCGCAGACTGAAATATCGATGAGAACTTGAATTTTGATCGTCGCAATAACAAAAGCAGTAGCTACAATGCCAGAAAAGCCACCGCCACCAGCTATCGACTTTGATTGTTCCTCTACGACATGTGTTTTTGTTTCCATAAACGAGACCGTTTTCATATTGAATATATTCGTATCGTCTTTTGCTATCTCTTTCCTAAAATGAGAAAATTATCACTAATCGAAAGATCATATTAAATTATATTATTTCTTTATCATTTTTTTACGATATTTTTTTCTATTTTTGAAATTTTATTATTCATGTAATTTTGAAATCGATGAATATACTGTAATTTAAATTTTTTTAATTTACTTTTAATTGCTTTTCAGATTATAAATTTATT